TCTGTATATGTAACATACAGCCCGTATATGTAACATACAGCCCGTATATGTAACATATAGCCCGTATATGTAACATATGGCCCGTATATGTAACATATGGACTGTATATGTAAAATACAGCCCGTATATGTAAAATACAGCCCGTATATATGTAACATACAGCCCGTATATGTAACATATGGCCCGTATATGTAACATAAAGCCCGTATATGTAACATACAGCCCGTATATGTAACATACAGCCCGTATATGTAACATACAGCCCGTATATGTAACATACAGCCCGTATATGTAACATATAGCCCGTATATGTAACATATGGCCCGTATATGTAACATATGGCCCGTATATGTAACATATGTCTGTATATGTAAAATGCAGCCCGTATATGTAACATACAGCCCGTATATGTAACATATAGCCCGTATATGTAACATATGGCCCGTATATGTAACATATGGTCTGTATATGTAAAATACAGCCCGTATATGTAAAATACAGCCCGTATATGTAAAATACAGCCCGTATATGTAACATATGGTCTGTATATGTAAAATGCAGCCCGTATATGTAACATACAGCCCGTATATGTAACATACAGCCCGTATATGTAACATACAGCCCGTATATGTAACATATGCCCGTATATGTAACATATAGCCCGTATATGTAACATATAGCCCGTATATGTAAAATACAGCCCGTATATGTAAAATAGCGTATATGTAAAATACAGCCAGTATATGTAAAATACAGCCCGTATATGTAAAATACAGCCCGTATATGTAAAATACAGCCCGTATATGTAACATACAGCCCGTATATGTAACATACAGCCCGTATATGTAACATACAGCCCGTATATGTAAAATACAGCCCGTATATGTAACATACAGCCCGTATATGTAACATACAGCCCGTATATGTAACATACAGCCCGTATATGTAACATACAGCCCGTATATGTAACATACAGCCCGTATATCTAACATACAGCCCGTATATGTAACATATGCTCTGTATATGTAAAATGCAGCCCGTATATGTAACATACAGCCCGTATATGTAAAATACAGCCCGTATATGTAACATATGGTCTGTATATGTAAAATGCAGCCCGTATATGTAACATACAGCCCGTATATGTAACATACAGCCCGTATATGTAACATACAGCCCGTATATGTAACATATGGCCCGTATATGTAACATACAGCCCGTATATGTAACATATGGCCCGTATACGTAAAATACAGCACGTATATGTAACATACAGCCCGTATATGTAACATACAGCCCGTATATGTAACATACAGCCCGTATATGTAACATACAGCCCGTATATGTAACATATGGCCCGTATGCGTAAAATGCAGCCCGTATATGTAACATATGGCCCGTATATGTAAAATACAGCCCGTATATGTAAAATACAGCCCGTATATGTAACATATAGCCCGTATATGTAACATATGGTCTGTATGTGTAAAATGCAGCCCGTATATGTAACATACAGCCCGTATATGTAACATACAGCCCGTAATGTAACATACAGCCCGTATATGTAACATATGGCCCGTATACGTAAAATACAGCCCGTATATGTAACATATGGTCTGTATATGTAACATATGGCCCGTATATGTAACATACAGCCCGTATATGTAACATACAGCCCGTATATGTAAAATACAGCCCGTATATGTAACATACAGCCCGTATATGTAACATACAGCCCGTATATGTAACATACAACCCGTATACGTAACATACAGCCCGTATATGTAACATATGGCCCGTATGCGTAAAATACAGCCCGTATATGTAACGTATGGTCTGTATATGTAAAATGCAGCCCGTATATGTAACATACAGCCCGTATATGTAACATACAGCCCGTATGTAAAATACCGCCCGTATATGTAACATAGAGCCCGTATATGTAACATACAGGCCGTATTTGTAGGTGTAATTGAAACTAGCCGTATGTTTTCAAATTTATGTCAAGGAAGAAAACGCAAGTTTTTAAGTTTAATTGTAAAGTTTTGAAATTCAAACTGTACGTATGTCAGTTTCTCAGTTTCTACGCTATCTTTTATTTCAGTGTGTTTTTATTCGTGTTTACGTTCAATATCGTGTTAATAATGTTCTTTTAAAATTGATATTTCATATTAAATCAATAAATGTATTTTAAACAAACTCCTGTCATTCGACTCAAATTACTACATTTACATGTAGTTTTATATCTTTTCAAACAAGTGAATGTAAAACTAAAGTCCTACATTTATAAATTTTATGAAAGGACCAAAGTTTGGCAAAGATGAAAAGTCAAACTTGCAGTTAATTTTTAAAGATGTTTTGAAAAGTTTTCCCAACGTGCATGCATCTCCAAAAAATGAGCTGTATAAAAGTTGAAACAAAATCACGTCAGCAAACATTTCATCTCGCCACACAAGGTCTGGGGCCGGTTGTACAATAAAGTGATTAAAGTTAACTATATAGTTAGTGGAAAACGTCATCCAATACGAAGTATGGCGTGCCGATATGGACAAAAATACTTCTTTGTAATATGTTACTTGTTTTGAGATACAAACATGTTTGTCTGATATAAATATATGACTTGTGGAGAAATGCAGAGTTTCTTTGCGAGATATACAACCTCTGTTCCAAAAATATACCAAGTTCTATTTCCAAAATATACTAGGACGTCTATTTCAAAAATATAGTACTTCTTTTTGAAAATTATAATACTTCTGTTTCAAAAATATATGACTTTAATGACGCCCGCGAACGTTCAGCGAACTATTTTGAGAACTACTTCATGACATTCCTCCCTTAAAGAATCCAAACATGGCGGAAACTTTGACAACAAACAAGCAAAGGAAATGGACAAAATTAATCCATACTAGTAATGAAATGCATCGAAGAAATGCATCGTAATGCATCGAAGAAATGCATCAAGAAATGCATCGAAATACTATTTGTTTCAGAACCTGAGATAGCTGAGAGACTTCGAAATCGTGGTGAGCAATTTATTAGAAACCTAATAATTGCTTGTCGACATCTGGAGCAAAATCGTGATATAAGCGATATAAGTCGTTGAACACTGCTTGCTGAGTTTCAACGACTTATATCGCTTATATCACGATTTTGTGCAGATGTCGACAAGCAATTATTAGGTTTCTAATAAATTGCTCACCACGATTTCGAAGTCTTATATCCACAAGTCATATATTTATATCAGACAAACATGTTTGTATCTCAAAACAAGTAACATATTACAAAGAAGTATTTTTGTCCATATCGGCACGCCATATATAACGAAGCGCGTATTTGAGAGCTAATCACTGTTTAACTACAAAATAGTGATTAAAGAAGTGATAGTAAGAGTTTAATATACAACCGGCCCCTAAAATGCAGTAACTTATTTCTCCTTCGGTCAATTTTTCTAAAATTTTGTTTTTTTTAAAGTAGTATGGTCATTTAGTTCAATATACTCAATTTTTGAAAAAATCTATAAAGCAGGTTTTGTGGAACAAATTTTGTGTGATATCTCGGCAAAAGTTCAATTTATAACTCCACCTAATTTTTTTATATAATCTCCCACTAGATAATCCCTTTACCCCTACAAAATTTTAGAAACTTTGACCGAAGGAAATTTAATAAATTCGTTTTTTGTGTAAAATTTAATGTCTGACTGCTGTCGCTTGGGTCACATTGTTACCATGGCAACACATAATTTGATTCTTTCGAACGAATGTACTTCAGTATAAAGATTGCAAAAGCATTTATACTTTTAAAAAATTGCATATTTTGCATAAATAGCAAATTATTTCGTTTCGTTGTGAAGATCTTATTTTTCGCTGCCATTTTTCAACAACTGTAGGAAGCCATCATGTGAAACGTTCAAAGTTGAGTATATTCCAACAGGATCAGGGATGACAGGATCATCAAATAACAATGTTCAAAGTAAAGTATTTTCAAGGCAGCATGGTGACAGGATCGTCAAATAACAATGTTCAAATTTAGGTACATTCTAACAGCAGGAGGGATGACAGCATCATCAAGTTAGATATTCAAAGTAACAAAGTTAAGTATATTCAACAGCAGCAAAGAAAACAGCTGGATCATCATGTTAATTGTTCAAAGTTAAGTCTATTCCAACAGCAGCAGGGATGGCAAGATCATCATGTTAAATGTTCAAAATTGAGTATATTCCTACAACAGCAGGGATGACAGGATTATCAACTTAGATATTCAAAGTTGAATATGTGTTATGATACATAAACACATGAACAATTATTAGTGGAAAAAACTTTATACTCATGAGCCTCTAGCACTAAATATTTCACGTTCGTCGATCACTAAATCACAATATGGTTTTTCAAATTCATGAAGGTTTACTTGCAATACCCTAGACACTTCTTTGCCAAGACGTTTATATTCTTTACCGTGTGATTTCCCCTTGATATTCTGCTTTATCATGATTGCATGTACCATTTCGTGGATGAGCGTCTTAAAAACTGTTAGTTTGTCGGTGTGCGTTTCGCGAAAAATTACAATGAACACAAGTCCATCCAGACCATACGTCATGCCAAGCTTTGGTCGGGACAACGTCTCACCAGTACACTCGTTATACTCTTGAACATTTAAAAAACCAACTGTGTCTTCACCGGGGGGAAGCTGACTGCTAAATGCAACTTGATTCACTTTATTGTACAGTGTCACTAACTCATCACGCTCACTGTATTTTCTCGCTGTTTGACGAAGTTTAGCAAAACACTTATCTATTTCTTTTTGTCGATCTTCCTTCCTCTTTCTTGTCTCTTCTTCTCGTGTGATGCAATTACGACACTTCCACTCAGGATCCTTGAAATCCCCTTGTTCGCAACTACTATGGAACCATCTCTTGCATTTCTTGCATTTACCCATTAACTCACCATCATCAGGCATGGCACAGTGACAATGTACCCAACACACCCATTCAAAAAGAAACTTTCGGATAGGAGTATCCTTATGCTGGGATGTAGACTTCAGGTATGATGGGAAATCTCGATCAACAAACAAACGCATAAGAGTGGGACCTAACATGCCTTGATTCCATTTCAACGTGATTGGATCCTTTCCAAAACAGAGGGCGATAGTGTTTGATATGGCAAACAAGCCACAGGCTGAGCCACCTTTCTGTTGCTGCACGTTAGTGACAACCATGTTAACGAAACCCAGTGGGCTTGCTATTCTGCAGACGCACTGCTCAACATCGACTGGATAGCTGATCTGATCCTTACCCTTTCGATTAAGGTTAACAAAGCTGTCATATATACGAACTTCATCAACGCAGGATTTGATGTTGGATAGTGTTGTCCAGTGATTTCCACGGACATTAATGATCTGGACAAAATGCTCGCGGTTTTCTTTGGTAAATCCGTCCTTAACAGCAGGAATCACATCCTGTAAGCCACCAAGCTCGGCCGTGCATGGGTGGAGTCGCAATATTTTGAACACCGCCATAATAATACGATCGTTTACCCAATGCCCCTTTTCCAAAATTCGCTTGTCAGATAACTTTAAACACAGTTCTTTTATCCAGAAGTCTTCTTCTTCTACAGATTGTGATTCATTTTTTCCTGATCGTTTACCGGTACATGTAACGCCAGGATCACTTGGTTTATCAGGAGGACGGCTAGAGAATACGTTGGGTTCACTCTCCTCGGGGCAGTCAATTAAATGGACAGGATAGCTCGTTTTAATAAATGGAGGTGGTTGCTTTATCTCTGTGCTTTCCTTAGTGTCGGAAGCTTCGGCCTCTGATTGGACGGCATCTGACGTGTCGGATTCCTGAGTGAAATTAGCTGACGGCATCGTATTCGTCGTTGTCGGCGCCGTCACTGATATCCTCTTTGTTTTGTCCAGTACAGCGCGTCCAAATTGACCTTCAGTTGCCGTAAATGAGGATAACTGTTCGATTTCATGAATGTTTCTTTCGTTGATGCGTTCGTTCAACGTATCAATATTTGATCGGAACAGGAATATGTGATTTACAGGCGTCATTGAGTTCAAGAAACGGTTATCTCTGTTAAATACGTTGTATAGCTGCTCCTGGCGCTGCGTGTTGATTAGGCCATTCAACTGCCTAACGTGCGTTACTCTCCGCAATATTTCCCGTTCTTTTTGAGAGTTGCTTTCGTGAAACCTGTCGAACAAGCAGAAGTGGTCGTTTGAACCTGTGATAGGATGACCAGTAGGCTGTTGGTTTGCTGTTTCATGCGCGATGTTCAACCAATCCAGTGATATGTCAAGTTGGTGCGTTTTGGCTCGTTCAACATTTTCTGATGTTGGGTCCACCAGCATGCCGTTGTGAGGAGAAAACATTTCTTTCTTTCTTCGATTTCCGTGGGCTGCGACCAGGTTTGCAACATCAACAATAGTAATATTTGGTTGATGTTTCATGGATAACAATCAAATCAATGATGCAATCAAATCAAGTTCGTTTAGCAAACCTGGATGACATAAAAGAATTAGAGATTGTTTCAGCAATAGTGAAAACTGCTTCAAACCAAAATATCCTCTTCTCTTCTTGCTACAGACCACCTGACACTGAACGAACTTGGACAAGCACACTCAACACATTCCTGGATCAAGTTTGCGATCAGTTTAAAAACGTAGTGATATCCGGTGATTTTAATCTACCCAACATCTCGTGGGATGCAACATTGAATGCATTTGGTGCGAACGAAGCGAACTTTGTTGACATACTTGATGACCACTATTTCACTCAAGTAAACACCATCCCTACTCGTGCCAACAAAATTCTAGATCTTGTTATCACAACTGTTCCAGAATCAGTCACTGTGTCTGAAGTACTTCCCCCAGAGACAACTGAAATAATGACGGATCACTCAACAGTCCTTTACGAGTTTTCTGAGAATATTAAGGCAAAACCAAAAGCTGGGAGGTATGTCTATAACTACAACGCCGGTGACTTTGAAGGACTGCGACGTGCATTGAACGCAATCAATCTGACGTCTCTCGTTGAACATGCCATAGATATCAACATCGCCTGGCAACAATGGAAAGGTGCGTTTTTAACAGCCGTTTCACATTATATACCGATGAAAAGATCAAAGGACGCAATCCAGCTCCATGGGTTAATGGTACTATTCTTAACGCTATAAGAAAGAAAGACTCAGCTCGGCAAAAACTTAAGGCTTCTCCAAACAATTTTCGACTACAGCAGCAATTCAAAACCTTGCGATCTGAAGTCAAGCATATGTTGTGGAAAAGTAGGGAAAAGTTTTTCAACAATTTAGGAACTGACATTAAACAAAATCCAAAGCGTTTCTGGTCGGTTTTGAAAAGAAGCTCAAAGACAAGAAACATCCCTGACATTATTTCATCCGCAAACAACGTCAACACACCTGGTGCAAATACAGCACAACGAACGGCGGCCGATAATCCAGATGGTATAGCAAACATGTTCAACCACTACTTTGCGTCAGTATTTTCAACAAAGAAAGCTAACGAGGAAGACGTCATTGAGTCTGACGAGCCAATCATGACTGATTTAACATTTAGTGAAGCCGAAGTTTCTTATGTGTTGAGATCACTTGATTCAAGCAAAGCAACAGGTCCTGATGATATTCCTGCAAGACTACTGAGGGAAACAGCAGATGTGATAACACCTTCCCTGTGCAAGCTGTTCAATATATCAGTTATTTCAGGAACAATACCAGATGAATGGAAATTGGCTAATATTGTGCCCGTGCACAAGAAAGGTGACAAAGAGTATGCTGAGAACTATCGCCCAATTTCCCTATTATGTATTACATCCAAAGTTATGGAACGCTGTGTCCTAAACAACATAAAAACTCGTTTGTATGATGCAGTTAACATGTGTCAACATGGGTTCATGGCCGGGAGATCTTGCATATCAAACCTCATCGACACTCTTGACTACGTTGGATCGTGTTTAGACAGTGGAAGACATATAGACATGATTTATATGGATATGTCAAAGGCATTCGACAAGGTCGATCATGATGTATTAATACGAAAGCTGCAGAAAGACTATGGTTTTGGAGGTAATCTCCTCAGATGGTTTCGTTGCTATCTAGAAAATCGTAAACAACGTGTTACAGTGTTAGGAGCAACGTCAGACCTACTTCCTGTCACGTCTGGTGTACCGCAAGGTTCAATACTTGGTCCAGCATTGTTCCTCCTCTACGTCAATGATCTGCCAAGCAATGTGAAGTCAAGTCGTGTTGCAATGTTTGCGGACGATACCAAAGTCTTCAAGGCAATACAATCGCCCAATGATGCAATAAAGTTACAGGAAGATATCACTAACTTGGGGATCTGGTCATCTGAATCTGGCTTACAATTCAACGAAGCAAAATGCAAGGCACAATCCATCACCCGTAAAACCAATCCAATCCCTACCACCTATTTTATGAATGACGCTTCACTAGCATCAATTAAGCTGCCTCGTCCCCAGGCGCTAATAAAAAAAATCTCATGCGAGTTACTATATGAAAGGTTTACATGAAGTAGTGCGTCACATTCTAGGCGCGCAAAGGGGAGTGGGATATGAGCGTTCTGGTTAGTGCCTGGCCGATCTTGTATAAATAGCTGTCGAACATACAAGTAAACAACAGATCTAAATATAAATCCCTTCATGTATATCACCACAAAGAAATAAAGCTATCCTTATCTGAATTATTCAAAATATTGACGATCGTTTGCATCGTGAAAATCAAACATACTGCATGTAAATAAGCTCGTAACTGAAATCCTGAGACGAATCTTGCAAATGCAATTCAAAATAAAGTTTCATCGCTCCCTTGTTTAAAAAACGTCTTGTAGCTGTATATTTTTAAAATAAATTGCTCGTTGTGATAAAAATTCATTGTCATTTTTCCATACCTTGTAAATTTATTATATAAACCGGCTTCTACAACCCCGTAGAACTCTTCAAGTGTTGACATCTCGGAATCATTCAAAGCGTTAAAAGATATCAAATATCATCTGACTGTAATCACATATTTAATTGAACAATTTGAAATGTAGTTTCCTCAAAAAAAATGGCGAAAAAAGCCCCCAAACTGTCGAAAAACCACGATTTGCAAGAAACAGACGAATTTTGCAAGAAACGGCACAAGATCTCCCAGGCGCTCCTCAATTTTGATGCCTCAAGCCCATAACCCCCAGCGCTTGTTCATCGCGATGCACTACTTCATGTAAATCTTTCATATAGTGACTCGCATGAAATTTTTAATTAGCGCCTGGGGACGAGGCAGTCAATTAAGCATGAACGTGATCTTGATGTCTGGATATCTTCCGATTTGACATTGAACAAGCATGTCAACGAACAGTGTGCACAAGCAAATAAAATGCTTAGCTACATCAGACGGAACACACGAACAATTAACAGCATTAAAACAAGAAGAACCATTTACCTGTCACTGGTACGATCACATCTTGGTTACGCGACGCAAGTCTGGACACCCCAATCTACCGAACTTCTGCTCAAACTAGAAAACCCTCAAAGACGTGCAACAAAATACATTCTTAATCTTCCATTTATTAGTTCAGTAAATTACAAATCCAGATTGCAAACTCTCCATCTACTGCCCATATGTTACTGGCATGAATACCTTGATATGATTCATTTCTTCAAAGTAACTCATGGCATTACCAGCTCGTCCTTTGCCTTGCACGCCAAGACAACAAGATATACAAGATCGTCCACTAACACGAAAGGTGTAAAGTACGAAGTCCCGCGGTGCAAAACAACAACCTACCAAAGATCATACTGGATAAGAACCATCAGAACATGGAACACATTGACGGTCATACTTGACTTGAGTATGGAAAACTTCAACGCATTCAAGTCTGTAATGCGAGAGTACTACCATACTGCATTAACGAACACATACGATTGTGATGATGTACGAACTTTTAAAACGATTTGCCCGAAATGCAATAGAGCAAGGACTTTAACAAACTCGATGAACTGTTGTTTTTAGTCTCTATGGTTTAATTGTTATTTGTGTTATTGATATTTGTCTCTTAACGTTTTGGGCCCGCAGTAATTGGTTTCAGGCTGTTGCGGATACCCAACCATCAACTCAGTTTATCTCATTGTGTTATGTATGTATATGTGTGTATGTGTGTGTACAGTAGTGATGGAAAAGCAATTAAATTAAAAAAAAAATAACAAAATGTCAACATAATCGCGCGGACTCTCTGAACGGATGAGGAATTTCAATGCGTATACAACTCCATGTGGACAAGTTCCAGAAACCCACCCACCAGAACATCCCCACAGTTTATTGAAGGCTTTCTTGAATTTCTCTTCGTCATTCTGAACTGCGTTTTTAATGTTCATTATTATGTCCAGCTTACTACCCTTTCCGGCCAACCCGAGTTTCTTGGCGAGGGACTGCGTGTCTTTAAGCGTGGACTGGTAAAGTAACTCGAGCAGTCGTTCTTCAGTTATCTCCCGACAATCTTCTTTGATTTTTCCATCTTCTATCTTGACTTTCCTATGCTCAGTGTTGTAAAGATCTTTACCTCTTCTTGTCATGCTGCCAATGAAGGGTGCCCAGTTGAGCAAGTTTGGATGTACGACGAATTCCCGCACGCTGGCACCAGGGAACCCGCGAACAATCATTGATAATTCAACATTCGCCCAGAAGTTTTCACAATCTACAACATCGTTTTCATCACTATTTTGCTTGTAGTTTTCTGGGAGGCGCAACGACTCAGCAGGGCACTGAAATGAAACTTTGCGGTTTAGATCCATGGTAATGATGCTAGGATGATGACCACAAATAGAACAGTTTAATCTGTATTCATGACAACTTAAGGCATCAAAATGAAGAAAAGCGTTAAGGATCGTTCGACCATTTAGCTTCCTTTTTAGACTTCGTTCCAAAAGTTCAGTCGCACTACCAATGGGGATGTGACATTGAAGACAGTCTCTTAAATAGATACACACGTCCAATCCAATGAGAAATGTATCATTATAATTATGCACACCTTCGGTGTATTCTTGATAGCGGAAACACATGCCACAAGATTCACATTTCGAGAAATAAGTTTCTACGTTTGTTATAATAGAATCCATTGTTACCACAGTGGCCTTTGTGGTAATTCGTATAGGCTTGCTTAGACGAATATTACAAAACGGACATTCCTTTTCCACGGGTGTGTATCTCCGAGGAATGGCTTTTGACTTATCAAGATTAGCCGACATGCAATGGGGATTTTCTTATGATCTTTTAGGAATTTGCACATGTTTGCAACAGTATCTTCGTCAGCGGGAGGATAAAAAAGTTCACTTTGCGCACAAATTTGGTCTACATCCGACGGTTGTTCTTGCTTTGTAACTCCTAACTCATCATCATCGTCTTCAACAACACCACGGAACTGCTCCAATTTGTCGATACCGCGCAAATACCACAAACAGATAGCCTTATGTGTGCAACCACGTTTACGACGACAACATCCACAATCCAGATATCCATTCTTTAGATCGCAGGTTACGATAACCCTTCCCAATTTAGAATAGTAGTGAACGGCACCATCGTATACAGAAAAGTGGATATATCTTTCACCATCTTCAAAACTTACAATTAACACTGCATTATTTGACGATGCCGCTTCGGATAGTGAAATGCATTGGTTAATTCGTTCTTGTTTTAAAATTTTGAATGTTCCTTCCTGCGAAAGGTCGTTAAGGTCACTTTCCCGAAGATGAACCTCATCCTTATATGTTGTATTCACACCTACTTCCCTAATGTGCTGACACTCGACTGCATTCATTCCACTTCTCCACGCAACCTCCATATAAACTCTGCAACTATTGTTTTCACAAAATGGAGTTTGTTTACCGTTCACATCACTTAGAGGCCGAACACATTTCTGAACGTGAACTGGATAAGCTACGCCTCCATGAGAACTCTTGCGAACCATATATAACCCCTTCGTCTCAGGGGCGGCGGAACGGATTTCAGTTTGGGGGGGGCTAAATTTTTTTTCCGTGACCTCCCCCTCCCCCCTCGCCAAAAAAAATTCGGTCAGTGTACCATTTTAGGGGTAGAAAAATTTTTCCGGACATATACAAGAAAAGGGATGAAAAAAATTTTTCCGGACCTATAACAAAAAATTTTTCCGGAAATACTCGATTTTTAAACAAAATATCCCAAATTTTCCCCATTATACCTAAATTTTCCAAAAATAACCTACATTTTTCCTTAATTATCAAAATTTTTCCAGAGAAAACAAAATTTTCTGGGGGGGCTTAGCCCCCCCACTTTTACTTCTGGGGGGGGGCTTTAGCCCCCCTAGCCCCCCCTGTTCCGCCGCCACTGCTTCGTCTCATCAACACAAACATTAGTTGGAACTATTTCTTTGTGAATGTCCCTTTGATGCCTCAGTAGACTTCGGACATCCATGACCTTTTTGCATATTGGACACTCTTTCCTTTCTGATTTTTGCCTCTTGGGTTTTGGCTCGTTGACTGGCTCTGTATCAAACGTGGTATCTTCCTCTTCCAAAAGCTTTGGGCTTATGGGTGTCATTTCCACGTCACTAATTTCTGGTTTCAAATGACTTTCAAGGTTTTTGGCAAATCTGTTGCGATTTATTACTCTCTTTTGACATTGGCACTTTTGACACTTTTGGTGAAAATATGCAAACTTCGAAAGGCTATATTTTCTGTATTTTACAACATATTCGTAACCAAATTTAGCAATTTTACTGATTTTAATAAGTTCTTTACGGTAATTTCCTTTTTTTTTTGCCTAAATCAAAAATTAGTCTAACATGCAAGTTGTCTATTCCGCTCGACTATTTAAATCAAAGAAAGCGCATGCTCAGTGTGTAGCCTGCGTGCAGAGGTTGCCCGTGCCCGATCTAACCCTCTTTAAAATAGTATGTATTCACCGCTCAGGTGACGTGTCACAGTGGGAAGCTTTAAGGTAATTCCGCAGTTTTGCATTGCGCACTTTTACTGCGCACATCCTAGAACTTATAATTTCATCCATTATATATACGTAAACACCGCGGAAAAACGTCTGCGCATACACCAAATTATGAAAATATGGCGGGGAATTTGAATATCAATTTCTAAAACAAAAACATGCTTATTAATTGGTCAAAAATTAGTAAAACAAACGAGAAAATATAGCAAATGGGTAGACTAGACATTAATTGAAAGCGTCCTGGCATTTAAAGTATGGAATGAAATATAATTCATGTAAAAAATTGTTGATTTTAATGGACACGACTTCGAAAATTTTTGCAAAATTATTCAAAACAAAAATTCAAACTAAAAAGTTAAGAAAACTCTCGAAAAGTTAAGCTTCTTAACCCACTCAAATTGTAGAATAAATCCTAAAGTTTAATTATTGTGAACACGAAAATTTTTTATATTTGGCGACACAGTTTTTTTTAAAGAAATGTATCTCAAACGAAAATTCGGAAATTGTCGTTGCTTAGTTGATAAACAAAATGTTTCAGACGATAAATTTGTCAACAATCACCTTTAGTTCATGTTCTTGTACAATACAATTTCTTGAACCTTCTGGCTGTATTTATTCCTAGTTTTTAGAATGACATATTTATTTTTGCGCTCGAAATATGGCTGTAAACACGCACAATGAAGTCACTCCTTTTTACCGCCATTTTGAGCCTTCGGAAACGTTCGGAACAGCTTCTCGTCAAGTTCGCAATACTATTACAGGTAAGGTTGACGCATGCGCGGACGTTTTTCCACGGTGTTATATACGTACCGTTTAAAATAAATAATTTTATGACAATTTTGTGTTACTTCAAAACATCTTTGGTTACATTCGTGCAAAGAATTACGTTAAAATCAATGTTTTCAAAAAAGGCATACAAAAGTGTAGCTAGGGTTCCCTGTGTCTGTAGTATATTTATTTACTTGTATTTCACGTCTTAATGCCACAATTCCCTAAAAAGATCGGTGACCCCCGTTTTTAACTGATAATTTATTTCTTTAATGTATTTTACATTTCATATCCGAAATTAAAGGAAAAATAATTTCTGGATCTTGAAAAAAAAATCCTTTATCACTGCCAAAGAAAGATATGTAGAGAAATGTGAAAAAGACATTTGTGGATCAGAATTGTACACGTTAGTAGTTTCATTTTGCTCAAAACAAAACATTTTTTAAAAAATAATTACAAGATAGGTTTACTAAAGCAAAATCCGCGCCAAAAACGTCAATAAATATCGGGCTGTTTGATTTTGCTGTTACTCGCAACGAGCGTCAAGATGGCGGCATATTGGGGTAAAGGTGGTATATTGTGATCGTCACATCTTCTTAACGAGTTCGGTGACCTCACCCCGACTTTTTTGTGTGATTTTACTTTAAGTATATCATAAACTTCACGCCTGGGAAGTTTCAGCACATTCTCATTTCGGGAACAATTACTGCGGAATTACCTTAAGCTATTTTGGCGCAACTGTCATGTTTTGATGTGCCTCCGTGCACGTTTCAATATTTCCAAGCCGATGATAATATGTTGTAGTCACAAAAGGTATGAATATAAACAAGTTTGGTCGCTCTTACAGTATCGTGAGCTTGGAAATACTGAAACGTGCACGAAAGCACATCAAAACATAAAAAATAACTGAAGTAGGCTTTGCATTGTAACACGTCACATGAGCAGTGAAACATTTCCGTTTCCAACGGTAAACGCCCCGTTTCAAACGTAAAGAAACGCGCGAAAATGTTTGCGGTTTGTGCTTGGATGCAAATTAATGTAATGAAGTGTCTTTTTCGGTAGACATGGATGGGGAAAATTTTTTGTGACTGTTTTTTTAATTGTCATAGTCCGGCAAATGTTTTTGAACCCATTTCTTCAATGAATATGTTTCAGACAATTTTTTTCGCCACCCCCCCCCCTGCAAGGGGGTATTAAAAATTGGATAGGGGGATGAACTTAGGAGATTCCGTTACGCCACTGATTGTGCTTGGTTCATGTAATATAATGTCCGAAAGCAATGGAGATTATCGCCATCTTGGATTAACGTGGATATGCATGTTACGTCACAAGTGGGATCAATATGATACAAATCCCCAACCTATAGATAACTACGTTTGAATTTAAACTTGAAATAAATTCTATGGACCAAGTTTAGATTTTGATTTTAGAAACTAGAAATTTTAAAAAGTTAATTTCACATGTGACGTCATCAAAACTGTAGTTAATGAGGTTAGAAATACGGTAATCCAAAATACTGGACGAGCCGTTGCTTTCAGTCAAAATATTTCATGAACAAAGTAAGATATGACAAATCTGATATAACTTTAAAAGCTCTTTCCAATAAGACAAATTAATTTTATTGCTCATATCATTTAGGTAATAAAAGTTGATAACACCATGAAAAACCGGTTTCTTAGAAGACAAAATAAAAGTATGACTTGACACGTGATCATAAACTGGGTTGTCACGGCAATATGACGTACGCGTTCGACCCAGTCACTCAGTATTGTATTCCCAGAATTTAGGAAAAGTTGCGACGTTTCGTGCATTTAAATTAAAACGTTAAATGGTTATAAACATTCAAAGTTTGAATAATTTTGTGTTTTTAATTTAAATCAAGGATCACACAAGAGGCTTTTGATAATAATTATATTTTGGCTAAAATAAAAGTATCATCAAAAACCTCTTGTGTGATCCTTGATTTAAAACACAAAAATATTTAATATGAACAGAGGTGAAACGTTCAGAAAAGCAATTCAAAGTTTGATCGGGCACTTTCCGCCCCCCCCCCCAGTCTTGATAGGGTTAAAATGCAAAATACCCTCAAGCTTTTTACTCTAGAGTTTTTAAACCTTAACAATGAAAAACCATAAAATATTTTATAATTAAAACTCTCGACTTTTTATATATGACCCTCCACTTTTTACCCTCGACATGCAGTGGACAAAAAACCTAAACTAGATAAGTTTTGGAGGGCGCGCGTAGGACGTAATGTGGGAGGGGGGGGGGGTGAATAGGGGTATACAAATCCGCCGATACACCCAAATTTGAAGCAAAATAGCGTTTGTCTAAATTGTCTAAATTTTAATCCGCTAAAAGCTCTACTACGAAGTCACAATCCCGGATCAGAACTAAATTGTAAGCTAAACCCACAATCCGAGCCAAAATATTATATAAATCCGCAATCCGCTGTATTAATAAGATTCGCAAATCCGTGTAAAATTTCGGCAGGTCCGAAATCCGAACATTTTTTTCTGTGAAATCCGAAGATCCGAAAACCTATCCCCCCCCTAATGTGCATCAAATTGTCTGGTACTTTGAAAGTTAATAAAAACCTTCGAAATTTGCACCCTATGGTGGGTTCGATTCCCGCTGTGGACGTTATGATATCCATGTGAAAAGAGTTAGTCAACGCTCTGCCAAAAGTCGTGGGTTTTCTTCGAGTAATCTGGTTTCCTCCCACAGGGAATGTTTATACAGGGTTGGTTGGGATTAGCCCCTAAGCCGGGATATTAGCCCTAAACTAACCCTTCCGTCTTGTGCTCCGTGTTTAGACATGGGTCATAAGGTGGCTGCCATGAGAGGCGAACCTAGAAAGCCTTCCACTCGATCACCGCGCGTACACCCTACTTACACCCCTCCCCCCCCGCCATAATTATAAAATTACCCATAGTATCGATATTATGCGGAATTTTTAGTTTATTGGATTTTAAAATTGTGTATAGCCATTCACATATATACATAATTTATACAAATACTGAAAAAGGCCTTTGCAACCGAATGGTATTATTGCAATTGGCCCACGGAATTTCGGAATCGTAGTATATGACTTCCAATATTATTATTTCATAATGTTAATAACTTGAAAATTGAAATAATGGTTTTTCATGAAATATAAATAAGAAACCAAAGAGTCAAGTATAAAAGTTAATGGCGCCTGCAATCAATTATTGTAACGAACAATTATAAAAAATGATCACGCAGCAGTCCAGATGTAGTTGATTATATAGTGAAATATTAACGAATTGTTAATTACTAGAACATAAACAACAAAAATGAAACTAATTACAATATTAAATTATTTAAATTAAACTACTGAATTTAAATTATGTATAAATGGCATGTAAATTGCTAATATTCTTTACTTACATTATTATTTGTTCTGCTTATCCTGTTAAATTGATGATAAATTCTCCTTTCACAACTCAAAACGAACAAAACAAAATGAAAGTGAATACTAATTCTTTAGACACTTAATTCAGGTCAATTTATACTACAGGTTCCCGTGATATGTGTTGGCGTGACGTATACATGATTAGTCGCACTTATATCTATAATACGACACGCAGACGTCAGAGGAAGGGAGTTTCTTCCACCCTTCCTAATTTGCATTAACAGCGCATCCCAAGTAATTTATACGTA